GGGGCGGGGGGAGGCCTGTGCCACGAGGTGTCGCTGCCTATCAAACAAAATACATTTGTTCCTCCAAGCGACAGGCTCTCATCTAGACCTATTTAAAAACTTGGCAAGCTTCACTAAAACTCCTTCTGCCCTCTGCATTGCCTAGCACCCTCCTGTACAGTGGCCCACATGAGTGTTTTCAACAGCATCCTCTAATTGCAGGCACTGAGTTTGCATTGTACACAATGAAGTTTTGCTCTCCTGTCCGACTAGCCTTTGTCTCTGGCCTTGGGTGCCCAGGCAGGCAATGGATCAGGTGCCAGCAGGAGTGAGACTCGTTACTCATGTGTGAAGGGCAGGAAGCACCATTGCACCCATCGGTGTGCTGGGAGCCTGCTGTGGGGTCTTCTGGCCTGTGATGACTTTATGACTGCAGGCAGGGATGCCTGCTGCAGCAGAGGACTGGGCTTGGTAACACCACTGGTGTCTCTCCATCATTGGGCAAATCACGCCACCGTGCCTACATTCTCCCACTGTTTTACTCTTTTGGAACATAAAAGCTTTGGGATGGGGTTGTCATTCCTTAGTACAATGCCTCATCTCTAGGTGGGCCTTTGCGTACTGCTGTAAAACCGATGATACGTGGGGAACTCTCTCGATTTGCCACCTCTTGCCTCTCTGCGTGCGACAGATGATTCAGACCACAAGGGCAACCCCGGCAACCTTTCTTGAGTCAGACTGACTGATACCTTCCTTTCTTGAGGAGGGGCACTGCAGGAAATACAGTCTTAATGTTGTGAGGAAGGCACTGTTTGGGCTGTGGTTTGATTTTATGAAACCTTTGGAGGCAATAGGCAGTATAAAGTACTGTCATCCCAGCTCCTTCCTTTTGCTCTTACCCCACCCACGTAGTTGTTGTGGCAGAGCTGTGTGTGCTGCATGCTGTGAGCTTGGGAAGACCACTGATCCCATTGAGAAAAAACCCACATATTAAAAAAATTTAACAGGGCATTTCTGGTATGAGTGGCACAATGGGAAACCAAACCACTGATGCGTAAGTGCAGCATGCTTAACATTTCTGATGTGCTCTTACATTTCTATCACCACCATATTGCTTGAAGGACTGGCTGAATGTTTTCAGTATTTCTTAAAATGTGAAGTAGTCTTCTGAAATAGCCTCCACATGGAGTCTTCCGCAGTTGATTTTTGTTTCTTTCTGAAATGTTAAGAGCTTTTTTTCCCTTAATGAAACAAGATTATTTTTTGAGAAGGTTTCTATTGAAACACTGGAAAGTTCCACCTCAACATTTTTGGGGAAGTAAATTTTCAGCTTCTGCAGGACAAAAATCATTCTTCTCTAGCAGCATTCATAGTCCTGTGCTAGGTGAGGTTGCTCAGCCTAAGAGAATGTTGCAGGTGGGGAGGGGAGATGGCAGTTGTCACAAACATGTTGGACACTGAAAATCTCAGGGAACAAGAGTGACATTTCCCAGTGGTTCTCACTGGATGATTTGAGAAATTTCTTAAAAGCACATGATCCAGATAAAAATTATTTTAAAAGGAGTTTTTGCCTAAGATCTTGGTAAATGAGTGACTAAGACCTTTAGTCATTCAGACTCAGCTTTTTAAATGATCTTTTCCTTTCCTGCTATTTAATTAACTTCTCTGCTTTGCTAAGGGCGTGATGCTGCAGACAGTTCTGGCAGCACCTGCTATCTGCACTGCTCCGGCAGCTGAGCTTGCCGCCCCTGTGCTTGGTGCTGTACATGTGCTCATGGCTTACGAGGCAGCCCACACCCCGTGTAGCATTTCTTGTTGTTTCTCCAGAACATAGCCCTATATCCCTCTCAACACGGATGTGTACACAGGTATTGTGCAGATGGGGACTGAGGAACAGAAAAAATTACGGACTTCCCCGTAGCAGTTCAGAGGCACGAGCCCAAGGCTTAGCAGTCAGAAAGTAATGTCTTTGACTTACCTGCAGAGCTTCCTAGCAGAGGTGCAGTCTTCACCAGTGCGAGATTGCTTTTCTTGGCTTAATGTCTTTATTTCTGGAGGTGGTGGAGCTGATGTAACTGTGGTGGCAAAAGTGTGCAGTATGGGCCTGTCTTCAGAGCTGGGCAAAGTAAAACCCAAGGGCAGGAGAGGAATTTTTCCTTCAACATTTTTCACCGCCTGTTTGGAAAAGTGAATGAGCATGGCGGCGTCTGAAGAGAAAATACTCATTAGCCCCAATCTAAACAAAAAGCATAAGCTGAAATTGAAAGTGAGACTTCGCCTGGTTCCAAAGTTTTCCCTGGAAACCACTTGTAATTTTTGTGGAGAACATACTGTTCTTCAAGGAAACCTATGCTTAGGGGAGGGGCAGAAAATTTTCAAGCAATTCAAAAGTCACCAGTTTTGGAAACTTCCTCCCCTGTCCCGAGTTTCTCGCACCAAGAGGACAAGTTTGGACCTGAGGTGCAGGGATCGCTCTCCCTCAGACAACACTTGTCTCTTTGGCAGTTCTTCTGCCCAACTCTCCTTTCTTTCTCCCTGGCTTATGTAGGTCTGTAGGACGAGTTGTGCGGCAAAGGCATTCGTACCATCCAGGAACGCGGAGTGTGGAAACAGCCACCGCCCCTGTGAGTGGCTGCAGCTGTGGCTTTGGCAGCAGGGTGCAAGGCACATACTCCGAGAGGAGGAGATATATCCAAGTGACAGCCTTAGACCGTAAACACCAAGGAGCTCTAGCAGCGAGCCTGATCCTGGCTTTAGTGAACTAGTTTGGTGAACTTGAACCTTCTTGCCTATCCCTGG